TGCACCTCATTCAAAATCAATGCGGTCCCACGGCCCTCTGCGGCCCAAAGTTAAAAACTGTTGTTCTTTTGAGGCCCTCAAGGTGGCGCTCGCGGTGGCCCATAGGTTAAGAATCTGTGGATAGATGTACTAACAGAAGAGAAACAGGAAAACATCTCTTTTCACAAACAGGTTTGATCTTATTATGCTCAATGTGGATGTGATCTGAGCAGAACTGAAGCTAATAATGTAACCTCCATGTGCCTCCATTGTCGGGGCGGCTTACCTGAGCTGTGGCTATAAGTTTGTCGGTGCCTGGCGTGGCGGCAACCCTCGAACCCGCTGGTGGACACCGGCGGTGAGGGATGCTGTCAGGCTGAAGAAGGAGTCCTATCAGGTCTTTTTGGCCTGTGGGACTCCGGAAGCAGCCGATTGGTACAGGCAGTCCAAGCAGACTGCAGCTCGGGAGGTCACTGAGGCAAAAACTTGGGCGTGGGAGGAGTTTGGAGAGGCCATGGAAAAAGACTTCCACACAGCTTCGAGGCGATTCTGGTCCACCATCCAGCGTCTTGGTGGGAAAGCGGCTCGTCACCAACACCATTTATGGTGGGGATGGCGCACTCCTGACCGCAATTCAGGACGTTATGGATGGGTGGAATACTTCGGAGACCTCCTCAATCCTACAACACGTCTTCCCATGAGGAAGCAGAGCCTGAGGACCCTGGGGTGGACTCTCCAATCTCTGGTGCTGAGGTCACTGAGGTGGTTAAAATGCTCCTCAGTGGCAGGGCACCGGGGGTGGATGAGATTCGCCCAGAGTTCCTTAAGGCTCTGGATGTTGTGGGGTTGTGTTGGTTGATGGGACTTTACAATATCACATGGACATAGGGGGCAGTTCCCCTGGATTGACAGATAGGGGTGACGGTCCCCCTATTTAAAAAAGGGGACCGCAGAGTGTGTTCCAACTATAGGGGGATAACACTTCTGAGCCTCCCTAGTAAGGTCTATTCAGGGGTCCTGGAGAGGAAGGTCCATCGGATAGTCAAATTGCAGATTCAGGAAGTGCAGTGTGGTTTTGGTCCTGGTCGTGGAACAGCGGACCAGCTCTACACCTTCAACAAGGTCCTGAAGGGTGCATGGGAGTTCGCCCAACCAGTCTACATGTGTTTTGTGGACTTGGAGAAGGTGTCTGACCGTGTGTCTTGGGACCTCTGTGGGGGGTACTCTGGGAGTATGAGGTACCAGGCCCATTGATACGGACTGTTAGATCCCGGTACAACCTGTGCCAGAGCATGGTCCACATTGGGGCGGCTGTGGCAGAGTGGTTAGGGGAGTCGTCCTGGAACCGGAAGGTTGCCGGCTCGATCCCCGTCCAGCTGTCTCAGTTGTTGTGTCCTTGGTCAAGACACTTCACCCCTAACTCCTCTGATGTGTGTCCCATCAGTGAATGAATGTGATTGGCACTGATTAGTCTCCATACATGATTGTGCATGTTAGCTTTGTAGAGACCTAATAGAGTGCTGTGTGAATGGGTAAATGAGGACACAGATTGTAGTGTGAAGAGCTTTGAGTGTCCTGGATGGGTAGAAAAGGGCTATATAAGTACAGTCCATTTACCATTGCCAGTAGTAAGTTGGACTCATTTCCGGTAAGAGTTGGACTCTGCCAAGTTGCCCTTTGTCACCAATTCTGTTCATAACATTTATGGACAGAATTTCTAGGCACAGCCAAKGTGATGAAGGGATTGGTTTTGGTGACCTTAGCATAACATCTCTGCTTTTTGCAGATGATGTAGTCCTATTAGCTTCATAGGATCGTGATCTCCAGCTCTCACTGGAGTGGTTTGCAGCCGAGTGTGAAGCGGCCAGGATGAGGATCAGTGCCTCCAAATCCAAGGCCATGGTCTTGAGCCAGAAAATGGTTGCGTGCCGCCTCCGGGTCGGGGAGGAGGTCCTGCCCCAAGTGGAGGAGTTTAAGTACATCTCGGGGTCTTGTTCATGACTGAGGGAAGAATGGAGCGGGAGATCGACAGGGCGGTTTGGTGCTGTGTCTGCAGTGATGTGGGCGCTGTACTGATCTGTTGTGGTGAAGCAGGAGCTGAGACAGAAGGTGAAGCTCTCGATTTACCAGTCGGTCTATGTTCCTACCCTCATCTATGGTCACAAACTTTGGGTAGTGACAGAAAGAACGAGATTGCGGATACAAGCGGCCAAAATGAGTTTCCTCCACAGGGTGTCTGGGCTCTCCCCTAGTGATAGGGTGAGAAGCTCAGTCATCCAGGAGGGACTCAGAGTAGACCTGCTGCTCCTCCATGTTGGGAGGAGCCAGTTGAGGTGGTTCATCTGGTTAGGATGCTTCCTGGATGCCTCCCTGGTGAGGCGTTCCGGGCACGTCCCACTAGGAGGAGGCACAGAGGAAGACCCAGGACACGCTGGAGGGACTATGTTTCTTGGATGGCCTGGGAACACCTTGAGATTCCCCCAGAGCAGCTGGCCCAAGTGGCTGGTGAGAAGGAAGTCTGGGTCTCTCTGCTTAGGCTGCTGCCCCCGCGACCTAACCCCGGATAAGCGGCAGAAAACGGACGGATTAAACTATATTTAGCTTTGTGTTAGACAAATCTGACCTGCTAAGATGGTTAGCTAATATTAGTATAGAGACCAGTTTCAGCCTATAACCAGGTATGAGTGAACATTTTCTAAGAATTGACTGGAAATATTTATTATTATTTATGACAGTAAGAAATAATAAATATACTTTATTACTAGTTGAAGTCATAATTTTTCAACTAGCTAAAAAGTCTGTCATCGACTGACTTCAGGTCAGGTTTAGATCATTGTTACTTATAAATCATATATTTTGCTGTTTTACATGATTGTTGAATGAAATTAACAGATTAATTTATTGTAAGAATATTACAGATAATTTTGACACAGATCCAGTTGCTGTTAATCTAATAGTTGCTATGATGACTGAGAGCCAACACCCTGTTCAGTTGCCGTTTTTGCTCCTCCATGTTGTCACAGATGTTAACACAGGGTGGGATAGTTTGGGCTCACTCTAATGATATTCAGCTCTATGAATCTACTCATAGACTTGAATAAGTACCCTAGACTGAGCCCCACCTATCCTTTCCACTGTTAGCGTCTGTGACAGCATGGAGGAGCAGAAACAGCGACCAAACAGGACAACGGCTCACAGCCACCATAGCAAATAATAGATAAACAGCAAGCTGAACCGGATCTGTTTCACAAATTGTCTGTAATATATATTTACAATAAATTAATAATTATGTTACTTTCATTCAACAATCATGTAAAACAGAAGATGTTTACTAGAAAAATATATAATTTATAAGTAACAATGATCTAAACCAGACCTGAAGTCAGCCTGTAACTTTGACTTTAGCTAGTTGAAAAAGTATGACTTCAGCTAGTAATAAAGTATATTTATTATTTATTCTTACTGTCATAAAAATTATAATAAAAATATTTACAAGTCAACACTTCGAAAATGTTCTCTGTATACCTGGTTATAGGATGAAACTTGTCTCTACTGATGTTAGCTAACCATCTCCTCAGTTGGTCAGGTTCCTCTAACAGAAACCTAAAATATTTACATTTATAATATTCTAAATAATATATATGTGTAGTTTTTAGTTTTTTCTTTTAAGGGTTGCACCTCCTCATGATGTCTTCATGAAGACGATCCTTGCTCTGTGCAGGGTCTGTGGCTGCATGACCCGGGGCACCTGTTCTCCTATGTTTGTTATGCTCTGTCTTCTTCTGAATGGGTGTTCTGAACTGTAATTTCATTGTGCTCTGTACAATGACAATTAAGGTCTATCTTATTTTATCTAATCTAATCTAATCTAATCTAATCTAATCTAATCAAATAATTTTACACTCTGTAAGTCTAAATATTAACCAAAGGACAAATCAGCTTGTAATATTTCATAGTTTGTGTTAAATTGTAGCATGATTGAGCAGAGTTCACTCCTACAAGCTAATATCTGCAACCAGTTCAATAAATAACAGTGATTACATCAACTTTACAAGCTTATTTTAATTTTAAATTGTTATATTATTAGCTTCAGTTCTGGTCAGATCGTATTGAGCAAAATAAGATCTTGTGTTGTGAACAGAGACGTTTTCCTGTTTATCTTCTGTTTCTGAATCCATTACACACAGCTTTTCTTGCATTATCTAAAACATTAGATAGATTATGTAAACTGTAAAATATTAATAATAATTATGTTAATATTATTATTAATAGTTTTTATGATTTATACATCGTAGGTAATTTTTTTCTGCTCTGTTGCCAACATGTACAGGAATGGTAAATCTGGACTCTTGACTGTTTTGCTTTAGTCCTTAGCTTCACCAGCTGATGACACGGTCACATGGTTTCCGAGCACTCCAGCTGTTTTGTATTCCTCCATGAAGCTACTACAGACAAGCGCCCACTAGTGGCTGGCTGCAGTATTTTTTTAAAGTACTAAAATGAAACATTTTCCCGATTAAAAAAACAATACACTTCCAATAATTTTGTTCACATGTTGATTGTGTTGATTCACACAGTCCTCATTTTGCTGTTGTATGTTCAAATGCATTTTCCAGTATATTTACTTGTAATAATTAATTTGACTAAGACTTTGATTGACAGCCTGTTAGTGAGTTGAGAGGGTAAAGTTTGTATGAGTTTGACCAGATGCTGGCATTAAAACCTCAACATGGAAGTGCCTCAAAAAATTTTTTTTGCTTAAATTCTGAACAACGGGAGAAGACCAAGTTACTTTTTCCATGTTTATTGTCAATGGTGTTGTCGTACCGTCCTCATCCACCTCATCTATCATCTCTTGCAACTCCTCAGGGGTTGGGTTTTGTCCCAGCATCCTCATCACCTTCCCCAGCTCTTTGGTGCTGATACAGCCATCCTCAGCATCCTGGATGAAGATGTCAAAGGCAGCCTTGAACTCTGAAAGGAACAGAGCCGTTAGGACTAAGAAAGACTAAAACATACAACTCAGAAGGTGAAATGATACACAGTAGTGCTAAGCACTGCCATTAGATGTCTTCAGTAAATCTCCTGCAGCTTCACATTTCTTACAATTAACACAAACTGAGAAAAACACAAAAGACTGACAGTGTCTCTGTGTGTGTACTTAATTCTATTACAGCGTGAGCACCATAGTTACTATCCAAGTGAGGTCTTTAATGCAAAGTGAGGGCCTCTTCAAAGTCCTCACTTTATTTGCAGCTCAACTGTGCTTTACTAGTTAAGTTTAGAGGTATAGTGTGAATCAAATTTTGGTTCAGGTTAGGGTTTACTTATAGACCAGTAAGGGTTAGTTTTAGGGAAAATGTCTGGGTTAGGCATGAATGTATGGAGCTAAATTGGGATCATAAGTTTTGTTCAAAAAATAAAAAGTTTTTGAAACTGATAAAAAGAGATTTGAATCTGAAAAATAATTCTAAAACTGGAAAAAAAAGTACGTGAGCGCATGCGTGGCTCCTATCGGCTCCAAGAACCGATGAAGAGGAGCTCCACACTGCTAGTCAGAACCTGTCCCCGCCTATAAAGCTTCATCTGCAGCATGACTTTGGCCAAAATACCACGTTACCTTCTTGGGCTTGAAGTACCGAACTGATTTATATGAGACGTTCAGGAAATGTTTATTACACTTTCAGGAAATGTTCAATACATCACAGAGAACAGCACATTAAAGTTTAAAACATTTCAGAGCACGAGTGCGGCCCCTATTGGATCCAAGAACCGCTGGAGAGAATGAGCTATTCACTACTTTTTGAGAAATAAGCCCAAGAAGGCAACGGGGTACTTTGGTCAAAGTCGTGCTGCAGAGCAAGCACTACAGCTGGGGACATGTTCAGAGGGTTTGTGGTCAGGATTAGGACATAGAAATGTAGTGGAAGTCAATAGAATGTCTCCAAACGTAAAGCTCGTTGGGACCAGATGCTCCTTGTGGGGAATAAAGCCCACGACTTCAGAGGCTGATTTTTTTTTTTTGGGGGGGGGGGGGGGGGTTAGGGTCAGGTGTGAGGTTAAGTTTAAGGTAAATTTTAAGGGTTATGCTTTAAAATGACCATAAAGTGAATGGAAGTCAATCCACGGTCCCCACAGGGATATAAAAACAAACCTGTGTGTGTGTGTGCATGACTGCCTGTTAGCTAAATATCTTGTAAAACAACAGCACAGATTTTGATCAAACTCCCCCAAAAATTGTCATTTACATGTAGAAAAAAGAAAAAGTAGCAAACTGAATCATGACAGTTTTATATGGTTAATTTTAAGTTGAAGTAGCTGAGAACAAATCCCAGTTTACTTTCAACAGGTTTAGATGATGTGAGGTTTGTGTTTAAAATGTTATTTTTCTGGAAAAATTCATCAGCTGTATCTCAACAACTGACCAAGTTTTGGAGACAACCCACTTGTTGACAAAAGAAATTATATAAACAGCAGTAATATTCTTTTGTTATGTGTTTTCTCACCATTTTTCTGCTCCTCGGTCAGGTTCTCTACCTGCGGGAAAAACAACAGGAGTTTCAGAGTCGTAGACCTAAGGCCTTGTCAACATGCAAATGTTTTTCCCTATTTTTTTTACTTGTTGCTTCTTAATTTTCATTTTAAAACAGAATATATTTAATAACCACTCCCTACCCGACAGCTACAGTATTAGTCATAACTCACATGACTTTATATTTTAAAATGACATATCTGAATACCCCAAGTAATGGGTGAGGGGGCCTATCTTTAAGACTGTGTAGAATATGACCGCCGTCATGAAAGCTGCCATTTTGGATCAAGGGCAAGCTTTTCCAAAGATAGGTCCCCTCACATATTACTTGCTGGGGTGTTCAGATGTCATTCCCCCCTTTCTTTCTAAAACAAGTGTTGGTTAGGCACAAGGTTGAAACAATAACATTAGAATTGTCTGAGTGAGTGATTGTGTTGTCCTCACAAAATGCAAAGGTGGTGTTTAAAGGTCTCTTTCAGTGTGAAACCCCATTTCAAAAAGTACAATTTCTGGGCTCTGTCTCTGTTTTTGTGTGGACACATGGCTGAAATGGTTAAAAAAACATCTACATATTCACCACAACAGTTCCTGTGTGAACGGGTCAGTGTGGCTGAAGTGTAACGTGACACGACTGGCTGCTCGCTCTATTCTTGCCTGTTGGTTTCTGTGCAGCAGAGGAGCTCAGCTGTTCTCTGACCAGCTGTTCATTGTTTCATCGTTCAAACAGGAACACCAGCCAGTGGCAGCAGACTGACAAGCCTTACATGTCAGAAAACCTCCTAACATCAYATAAAAACCATTGTTGTAGTGAGTTTCACTATTCCACCTGACTGTAATATTCTTACATTTATTGCTGATTGGTATAAAAAAACACCAGAATCATTGTCAGAAACATTGCGCATATTTTAATAAATTGTGTAGTATTTTACTTTTTCAAAGTATTTTTTAAATAAACTCATTGAAAGTGAACCTTTGACAAAAGAACTGGATAAAACAGACTGTTGGGACTCACCGCTGCTTTATACACGTCATCCATGGCTGCTGATCCAGTCTGGGCTCTGCCACCCCTCCAACACCAGCAGGAAAACTGTCCCCTGTCTCCCTGTCCTCATGAGGAGATGATGGAGGGAGGAGTGACAGACAGAGGGAGGGAGGTCTATAAAAGGGAAATGATAAAAGACACCTAAAAATAGTGAATGACTGTCAGCTCAGTGGAAGTGGATATACTTTTGTAAACCTTTCACAAGTTCAAACTTATTTTACCAAAGTTCAAAGGGTGATAATGTTGTATGTGTGCGTGTCCTGATGCGTCTCAGTAATCCTGGTAGAAAAATCAAAAAGAACTATTTAAGTCTTCTGGACAGGTTTTTCTTCCGTAGAGAACTGCCAAAACTCATCAACATGGCCAACAAGTTCATCAGTGTTACCAACATGAGAGATATGTTAGTGTATGGGCAGCATGTCAGAACAGTGTTGTTGCCTCACAGCAAGACAGTCACAGGTTCACCTGTGTGAACTTTACATGTTCTCCTAGAGCACATGTAGGGTTTCTCTGGGTGCTTCTGTTTCCTCCCTCAGATCTTAAAGCTTCATGTTAGGCCCATTGGTAACCCTAGATTGTCTTTAGGAGTGAGTGAAAGCTCTGCAACTCAGAAAGAAAAAGGCAAATAAGGGATGGATGGATGGATGGATGGATGGATGGATGGATGGATGGATGGATGGATGGAGATTTAGGTGATTTAAAAAAATAAACAGAAGCTGGTAGATTGTTGGAAGTAGAATGCTACTTGTTGTTTTGGTTGTATTTTTTATTAAACACTGAGCATTCTTTGAATGAATGCATACAAGCTGCCACCTTCTGTTCCAATGTTTCAGATCTTTTGTAGATAAATCATGAAATTGAGCCATTTTGGTCAAAATAGTCTTATGTGATATTATGAGATGTTGTGCTCAGACAGTGTTTTGGATCACTCTCAGATACTACCACACTGCATTTGATCTCAACAGCTGTAAAACTGACAGGTTTTGAATTGATTTTGTCCACCATTTTAAACTGGTGGCCAATTATAGCTGCAGATCCAGCAAAAACAAAAGAAAATTGATGATTACATCATAAAAGACAGAACAGACACAAGCACTTCTTGTGTTGTATAATGTCAGTTAGTTGTGGTGGCCATAAATTGAGTAATCAAATGTTTTGCTAACAAATGAAGTCACAAATAGAGACGAGCAAAATCATGATTGCTCTGCCTCTGCCTTCAGGGCAATAATGAGTCTGTCTTAAACAATGTGTTTAAACAGTCAGAGTCTCAGGTATTCCAAGTCTAAAGAGAATAATTCATGCGTTTGTCTCTCTCAGTGGCTGTTTTGAGTATCTGGGTAAGTCAGATTGTTGAAATGACAATAGGCACACAGATGGAGCTATTTTCAGTCTCTGCCTCCACTGGAAATAGTTGCCCTTTTTCAGAGGAGGTGAAACAGGATCTATAAGAGTAAATCTGTTTACAGACTGGTAGTGTGATCAGATCCACCTGCTGAACAGCCTGCAGATTTTTACAGCAGGAGGAGAAACCATCTATTAAAGAACTGACTGATTATTTCCTGACACTGAAGGCCAGTGGCTGAAAATGACAAGATTTTGGATTCAGAGCAGCTTGAGACAAAAACAGATTTAAGAGGTTTATTAGTAAGCTTGATTTTGGCGATCCTCTGGACCCTCGAAACGGATCACTCTGTAGAGCAGAACACTGATGAGTGACGGGAGCAGATATGGTGGTTTTGTAGAAAAAAGAAGGGGCTACTGACCTTTCTGTAGACGAGTTGGGGCCGGTGTGTCCACAGCTGATGATCCGAGAGGGCACAGATCCAGGTAAGGGAGCAAACTGGGTTTGGATATCCAGAGGGCGGTCCAAGGTCAGAGCCGGGAGGTCAGAGAGCAAAAAACAAATCCAAAACACATTCCAGAAGGCGATGTCCAGAAAACAGAAATGGGTCTGAATGCCAAGGATCAGAGTCAGCATAAGTACCAGACAAGGAGCAGGCAAGAGGCGAAGGTTGAGAGGCAGGCAAGAGATCAGGCATGGGCTTGGTAATAATGCTGGACATTTACTGGGCGAACCGTTCAATAATCTAGCAGTGAGAGTCTGTGAATATGGRGCTTACAGTTTTTATTGATTACTTTGACCTGTTTGAAGAAACTGGGAACCTCTCAGTCTTCATCATCACCATCTCAGCAGAGCAGAAGACACCTATTGCAATGTGTTAACCCATTCTCATTGGATTGACAGTTTTCACACCCTTTTGCAAAACAGTTAACACAGATGTAATTCTTGTCATGTCAGACTTACCTTTTTGATAAATCCTATAGTTAGACTTAGGTTTCCAGAATTATTCTTCATTTCTGCTGCTATAGACTTAGACTGCTGGAGCACAAACTGAGCACATTTCCTCACTCTGCTGTTGTCTTTAGTCTCTCCTCTACATGTTTATTGTAATTATCGCTATCGATAACATTTTTTCTTTGTCTCTTTTCCAGAAGTAGGTGCACCCTGGACCAGTCCTGGACCAGTTCTTCTGTGTTTACTTGTCTCTTTCCTGTCCTCCAAGCAGTCCTGGACCAGTTCTTCTGTGTTTACTTGTCTCTTTCCTGTCCTCCAAGCAGCTGTTCGAGGCAGATGGCTACATGTCCTAAGCCTGGTTCTGCTGGAGGTTTCTTCCTGATTAGCAGGGAGTTTTTCCTCTCCACTGTTTGCTCAGGATGGGAGACTGTGATGAAGTGATTCAACACAATCTGCTGGCTTCTTCTTTAGATTGTTCTTTTTTCATGTACAGTGCCCTGAGACAATGTATGTTGTGACTTGGCTGTAAATAAACAGAATTGAAATAAACTGAATTGAATTCAAGAAGTCCAAACTCCGTTTTAGCCATGGTTACAGAACAGAAACCATATGCTCCAAGCTCTTAGAAACTCCTTGATCAGTATGAAATCACCGAAAGCATCTGTTTGACACTTCTTCACAGAATCTTTCAATTTGAAATCTGTCTGCAGACCTGTGGCTATCTCTTATATTCAAAGTACTTAGTATAGATTTTTGTTCTTTTCTGTAAAAGACTGTTTTTTATTCACCTAATTTCTCACACAGTAAAGGATTTTATTTTTATTTCCATGTATTCTCTGTTGGAATATTTCATTTGTCAGGCACAGTCTGAAAAAAAAAATGTAATCAATAAAATTTGCATCAACCATATCTGCTTCTGGATGCTTTTTTGCAAGTGGGTAAATATGACTACAAACAGCACTGGCATGTAAGCTACGTACAGTCATAGGCTACAACGACAAGCAATGGTGCACTGATTCACACATGAGGGCTGTATTTTGTATTTTGTTGCCCATTGTGTAATGATTGTTTGGAGGTGCTCATACATTGTGTCACAGGTGAGTTGTTTGAAGCCAAAATTTGCTTTTGTTCCATATTTTAAATGTTTTGACACARTAGCTGCCTTTTGCAAACAAAATGTGTCATATTGACCACTGTGTCACTGTTCAGGCCTCTGTGTTAACTGTTTTGAAAATGTGGATTTTGAGTTGACGGCTGCGTCAAAATCAATAAAAACTGTAAATAGGAGGCAGAACAGGTGAAACAGATGAAGGTGATTACTGTGAACAGAGGAGCTGGAGAACAGGCTGTGGGTGACAAGCAGCTGAGAACCATGACAGAGACAGCACCCTGGGCTGATCCGGATGGTCCCTGTAAAAATCTCTGATGAGAGTCTTGTCCAATATTGGTAAACCACTTTGAAGTGTCCTGCTTGGAAAAAAGTCAGAGCAACTCTGATTACCTCACCTGTGATTCTGATTCCGCTCAGACAGCAGGACCCGCCCTGCTCTGATTGGCTAAAACTGTGACTCTGGTTCGTTTCATTGGATGAAAGCAGCGTCAGTTAATCCATCACAATACAAGTTTTGCTGTTTTTTGTACAGGAAATGCRCTGCAGAGACAGCCTGGGGAGACAGAGGACTTTGATCGCTTTTGCCTGACAAAATGTAAAACTTTTGTGTAAMAACTTTAAGACCAACTTSCACATTTTATTTTAACAAATTTAAKACTTTTAAGGACCCACAGACACTATACTGCAGGCAAAGGTGATTTTCATAATTTGGTCAAATGTCCCTTTTTTTTATTGGAGTTATCACATTTTACTTTGTCATTATCTGATTTCTATCTGAAGCACTAAAAATGATTTGTGTATGACTTACCTATTCATTATGGGGTGGTGAAGGCTCAGATAACAAAATATGTTGATTCATTGATGATTATGGTCAAAAAATATTTTTTACACTTCAGATGTCCAAACAAAATA